TTGTGTCACAGCTGTATGGAATCCTGTTTTCAGTTTTTTTTTTTCTTTTCTCCTGACTGGAACTTTTTTTTTTTTTTTTACTTTTCTCCGGTCTTTACTTTTGTCCCAACAGTTGTGTCTGTTCCAGGATAACAGCTTCTTATCAGTCACGAACGTCAGGGTCAGATATGAGCTCAGAAAGGTTCACTTAAACCATAAAGCCGTTAGGAACGTGCTCTGAGGCACACACACCACACCAACACAGGTCCATCTATCCTGATCCAATGTAGAGATACTGAAGATATGAATAGTTTGATTGTTTAGTTTTGGCTTAATTGACTTGGGAGATTTAACTAAAATCTGAAGAGAATTTAGTTTCTAAGAGAAGCTGAAGTAGGAAGCACGCCTCATCTGCACTCTGTGAAACAGGAAGTGAGCTGTTGCCTTATCTGGGAGATTTACATCCTGCTTGGGTCTGTGTGCCAGGCGAGTGTATCCATATGTTCAGCTTTTACTTTCCTTGTGAACGTCTTTGAATGTTTATGGGATGGAAGATCATCATCTGGCAGGAGAAAGCTCTGCTGAGGGTTTGGAGAAGGCCTGGTCACCTGATCTAGGGACCAAGGGCTTCTTTGAGAGCATAAATCTGTCATCAGGGCCACAGGGGCCTTTGGGGTTAGCGAAGCGATGATCCATCTGGGCCAGCTGTGTGGTTTGCATGTGTATGTTCCTGTGGATCTACGCCTGCGTTCCTGCAACAGCTGGTGGTAAATAACTTAAATGGTTGATGTGAGTAACCTCATTTTTTTCTTCGCTTTGTCCATGTGTGTTGAAGAGGCAACGCTTGAGGCCAACCAGATGGTGATTTCTCTGCCACCATATCACTTAGCTGACAAGCAGACCCTCTCCATGAACACCAACTGTCTCTGAATGGAAATCACAAAACATGATACCCAGCAGGAGAGAGAAAATCTGTTGTACATATTTACATTTCAGTGCACATCTTGCTTACATCAACTCCAGTGTCCAGCTGTGCCTTCCTTTCTTGCACCCAGTGGTTGAGACTCCAAGTCATAGGTTTTATTCTTTCTACTATAAAACATAAATCCAGACAAACAAACTGGCCTCCTTGTGGCTTTTCTTTTTGCTTGCAACACCTCTGTCAGAGACAAGTTTATCACCCTACCTGCCCAGACCCACTTTGCAGCTCTTTCAAAATGACCTACTCAGACCTGATGTTGATAAGAACGCTTACGACTGCCCTTCGGGGCTTCTTTACAGTCGCCCCTTCGGAAACCCGCCAGTGATCAAGCAATTTCAGATAAGCTACCGCAGTTCACAACAGAGGTCACCTAAAACATTCTCCTCAATCTGCAGCTTCAAAGGACTAGTGGTGAAGATAACTGTATTCAGACTCTTGACCTCCAGTTTGCCATGGCAGAGCCTTTTAAGGTGGGGGACTGTGAGCAGCATCCTTTGTTTGCGCATTGCTGACAAACTCCCTCTGGAGCTGAGCATTCAGAGCCAGTCTAGCCAGACCCCCATTGCCTCCCGCGATAGAGGGAAGCTGTGGCCGGCAATTGTGAGAATTTCCTGCCTCCGGAAGGGAGACAAGAGAGGAGAAGGGGCCAGCAGAGTCGAAATAAGCAAAAGACAACACAGGGTAAGAGGAGGCAAAAAGAAAGAGCAACCACAATGGATAATTTTAGAAGTTGATACAGTCATCAGCAGTGGATGTTTTGAATTTGATATACGATCTCTGTCTGCAGTGTTTGAATAAACACCTCTGATATGAGTTGTTTGCATATTTTATAATAATGATCCCTCTCAGCTGATTCTCCTAGGCATATCAACCTGAGGTGATTTAAGGCTAGAAAAAACTCCCAACTAAAAGGGTTTTTCTAGATCAGTCTTTGCAGAATAAAGGTTTGACGAAGCAATCTGCCAAAATTGTATAAACATTGTTAACAATGACCTTATTGCTGCTGACATGGTGCTGTAGGCTCTTCAGTTGTGGCCAAATATCCGCTGGCTGACAGGGAGGTTCCAGGCATCCTGTTTGGCCCCTCAGAAACACAGGCTGTTTTGTGGTCAGTAACTTTAAATTTTTTGGTCTAGATTGTTTTTTAACTTTAGATTCAGAAGAAAAGTTTGTCATGTTGCTTTTGTGATTTGGAAGTTTCACACCACTGATTTTCCTCCATCAACAAAAAACTTGAAGTCAAGGATGTAAAATCGTTTGTTAAGATGTATCTAATTGTGCTGTTTGACAGAAAAATAATGTGGTTGTAATATCCACGGCATATTGAATACTCCATTACAATTGGTTTCAGGACTTGATTGTACTGATTTCTTTTTGTAATCTGGATTTACTATGCTTCTAAAGATGAACAGGAGTTGATAAAGCTTCGCTCTAATTGTGGATTAGCCCAGTGTTTGACCCTCATTGCCGTCACAGTTTAAGCTCTAAGTGTGTGCTCTAACACATTCGTCCGGTGTGGCTTTGTTTCTGTCTTTAACCGCAACGAGGTTTTCTTTTTGTGCACACAATCACCGGAGCTCATGTTTGCCTTGGCTGCCTCTCCACCTATTATCTGGCCAGGAACAAATGAAGGCAGGGCCCTTCCAGCCAAGTGGTCGGTCAGTGGCCGTGGCACTTCATAGCAGTTCTCTTCCTGTGTGGGAAGCGGGAAGGGGAAGTGAAGTAGTTTCCCTGGTGAGGGCTTGGGATGGATATTTGGTAGCAAAATAAAATTAAAAGCAACATGTCAGACAGTTGGCTGGGGTAGTTGGTAAGGGTGGTGGAAGGTCCTTTGGTTGCAGTGATGAGTCTTGCTTCGCTAGGTGCTTTTCAAGCATGCGTAGAGCAGCTCTATTGTTTAGTTGTTTGTTCCAGATGCCTCATGCCCCCGTCTACTTCCTGGGGCCAAACAAAAACTAAACACATAGCTCTGCTTCATATTTGGAAGTTTTCTTGACGGATTATTCAGCTTAATGTCTCCTCAGCTTGGAAAATCAAGTAATATTACTTGAAATAGATTTGATATACATGCTAAGCCAGCAGATGATGTCTGCGGATAGGTAGCCACAAAAACAGCTCACTGGATCCCATATTTGTTTATTTTATTCTGGATCTTTTGGTTAGGACGTTTTCAGTTTGTTTGAATGTCTAATTTGCATTTCAGTAGCCTTCCTGCGTTCACAGTGATTTGTCCTTAAACATGTGGTTGGTTTTTGCAAACATAGGGACTGGCTTTTGCACACATAAATGGCAACCGATTCACAAGCACAGGAATCTCTAGCCATCATTTTGAGGAATGTGGGTATAATTACTGCTTGGTTTCTATTTTTCTTTGAGTTTACTATGCTCTAAAAATACAGAACTAAGCAGGCACACATTCTTTTTTTTTTTTTTTTGAGACATGTCATTTTATGGTCATAAGGGAACAGAGGAAGGTTCTCAAACGGTCAGTTTGTTGAACGTTCCAGAAGCTGTCTGCCCCTGCAGTGACAGAGGAGAAAATTTGTTGTGGTCGTGTCACACCTTGTTGTTATAGAGGTTATCTGCCGTCTAGGCTTGTTGTTGGTATGTAAATGCTAGCATAATGTGTAGACTAGACCTTTCACAGGATTCCTCTCTGTCTGTCTGAGGGTTTTATAGTTAAATCATTTGTTTACAAGAAACAAATGTTAATGCTGATTTGTAAACACACCTGTCTGCCACTGTTTTCTCAATTCATTTCTTTATTATTCCTATTAGAAAGTTGTTAACATGGTAAGAAAACTGAAAAATAATATATAAGCCATGCTTAAAAAAACTGCAGAAGCTAAATGCAAACAAAGCCTAACTTTCTACTGTCGGTCATCATTTTTGTTTTCCTGCCTTTGTTGTGCCACATTTGTGCTCCCTTTCCACACGCCACAGTGATAATTTTCGTAAAGTCAGTGTTCAGAGGCCTTAAAGCTGTTTTTTTTTTTTCTCTTTCTCCAAGAGCTTGCCTATACAGACCTGATGGGGTGTTGGTGGCCATTTGGCATATATCATTTAAAAGGCTTTCGCACATAATTGGGAGACTGTCCCAGGCTCCTCTGACACACAGAGAACCTCTGCATTCAGTCACATCACTTAGCATAGCGAGTCCGAATGTCACACCCTGTCTTTAAAGGCACTTTTGAAAGAGTTTGTTTGGCAGTGTGGTAAATACGCTAGGTAGCAGAAAGAGAGTTAAAAGCAACATGCCTGATTTTATATAATTTATTTAGTATATTATAATTCTTTTCAATAGAGGGAAGTCTTTAAAGTCTTTATTCTTTCTTTCTTCCATGGCTTCATCATCAGAGGCTTGTAAGCAGCACAGTTACATGTTTTCAAAGTAATTTTCCCATTTTATACCTCATTTTTTTCCATTTCTATCTCATTTCTGTGCTTGTAAATGCAGAGTCTTGTTCAGTCAAGTACTTACAGAAATTGTCATTGCTAACTTAATTTAATAGTTTATTTTGAATTATCCCTTTTTTTTCTCCCTCATGACCTCTGAAGAAACAAAATAACTTTAAGAAACAACCGTCTGGTGGATTTCATTTATTGGAGTCACATTACTACAATTCCCTACAGTTATTATAGCTACTAAATATCCGTATGTAGTTTGTTCCATTCTGTGACACAGGAAGTCAGCTGTTATTGCTTATGGTAGTCAGCACCGCACAAATAGGCAAATCCAACTGGTTTATCAACTACTAACAAGGACATGCTAAACATAGGCATGGCATTTTTCTGTTGTGATTTCAGATTTGTATCAAATACTACTTAAGGAGGCCTGATGGGATGGGGTGGAGATGTTTTTCCGTAAATCGTCCAAATCTAACATTTAATAAAATAATCATGGTCAGGCTTGGTTTATTTATTTATTTTTTTACCTTTTTTATGTTGATATTATGTGTTTTCTTATCATCTTTGTTATATTATCCATTATTGTTCTATTCTGACGTATTTCTACTGGTCCTGTGTCTCTGTTTTTTAGAGATCGAAGCCAAAGAGGCCTGCACCTGGCTCAGAGCTGCGGGGTTCCCACAATATGCCCAGCTTTATGAAGGTAAAAAACATGTTGAGAAACTTAAAACACCCAAAGCATGCTAAACGGATGCAATCAGTTGTCCTTTCTGTGATAATCTCATATTTCTGTCATTTTCTCTCTCTGTCATTTTAATTGAATGGATGGAATGTTGGAACAGTAGAAACGCCTTGGTTTTCCTTGATAAGAAAAACCGCCCCTTGCTCAGTCCAGAGTGTTTTATTTTTATGTAATCGTACAGCACTCACACACCCTTCTACGTGTTCTTTGTTTGAAACACAAAGGATCAGCATTCACATATGCATCTGTGCAGACACACACTCTTTGCATAGTATAACATTCCTCCTCAGTGTTTCCTAGCAGCAGCTCTTTTCTCTCCTAACGTACAAATGAAAGGAAGGAATTCCATCCATACATTAGTGTGCTCCACATTTCAAACATATTGTGTACAGTTACTGCTGAGAACCAAAACACTTGCCTCGTAAACACACCCAAAATCGAACAAACACCCCCATTGCCGGCTCCGGTTGAGCTTTAAAATACAGCCTAACCAAAGCATATCCAGCAGTTTATGTAGCATACCATTTGCCTTTATGTAATTACAGAATGATGACAGAAGAGCTAAGCTTCGCCTATCAACGGGTCGCTGCAAGTTTGCACCTAACCGTGAAAGGGTTTCTATTTGAATTGAATGGCTATTGTGTTTCTATGCAGCTGTTGGGGACCTTTTTATGCATTAATTAACAGAAAAAACACACATTTTAGGGTAGAGTCACCTCATATGTTGCTGTCATCTTTACTTAAGAGGAACAACAGTACTCATCATGCAGTGCTCATTTTTGTCCCCTTGTGTCTGTGTGGAAGGATCTGGATTATCTGTGCGGTCATGAGTATTGCCCCACTAAAGATAAACAGACTGATAGAGCAGCTTCAATCAGCACCAGTAGGTTAAAGATTCTAGTCTTCAATGTCTGGCACTTTCCTATCATGGCCCTGAAGAATGTAGATCCAAAAACCCTGTTTGGGTTGCACTACAAAAAAAAAAAAAGTAAATCTTCTTAAAATATGAACCATTTTTCTTGATTAAAACAGGTAAGTGAGATTCTTAGCGGGTTTTTTTTTTCTTATTTTAAATGTAAATTGCCTTATTCCATTGGCAGTCAACTGCACGATATCCATCTTATTTTACGCTTATTTCAGGAGTAAAAATGTTCATTCCATTGGCAGATCATGTTATTTAACTGAAATTAGAGATCTGAAATTAAGGGTAAATACACTTAATTTAAGACATTTTAACTCATTTTTAGATTATTTTTGCAAAGTATTGACAACACATTCCATCATCAACAACTTCAGATGCCTTCCATCCTCAGCAGAACTCGTTAACTAAAAGAAAACAAGTGTTTTCAGTTCTAAGGCATTGTGCTTATACTGTACCAGTGGACTGCTTACTTGAAGAAGTGGTCCTGTTACTGAGGAGCAGAGAGGGAAGTAGCAGCAATGAAGTACCTATTGTCATTCTTCAATCAATCCCCTGTTCTCTCCCCCTGAGCTCCACATCCCCCCTGCCTGCACGGCCTGAAAGCTGCAGCTGTGTTTGTTTGGTCGGCTAAGACGCCACTTCCTTTTTTTAGCTTTTCATCAAGGTTGGCCGGGGGGGTGGGAGTAGCTAGGTGTTTGAGCAGGTGGCTGTCTTTGGGACGGTAACTTCAGTTTTATCTCAACATGCTGATTGAATCAGGAGCAGAGAAATGCCAACACTGAAAAGAAACTCCCACCTCCTTTATTTTTCTTTCAGATTCCCAGTTTCCGATTAACATATCCTCAGTCACCAGAGACCACGACTTCCTTGATCGAGATGCTATTGAGGCTCTCTGCAGGTGAGATAACCCCTACCTAAGCCTTTTCCCCTGATGGTATAGGTGCTTTTTATGTTTCTGTGATGTTATGTTATGGCCCTTATTTAAAGTCTGAAGCAGATAACTTCAAAGGGAGACTTGCTTCAGAATATTCCTTATTAGATAAAGGAAATGTAGGATAAGAAGGAATCAGCTTTGGCATCCAGCATGCAGATTTTTCACTCCTGCCTTTCGGTTTTTAATGAGGTTCATCCATCGTTCCACAGAATTTCACATTGTTCTAATGCTTTAGATTGGCAACAGCATTGTGGGAGTAAAGGTTTCTAGTTGGGGTGTCTTGAATTTATAAGCATTATGACTCACAATAACAGGTACCCCATGTCGGTTATTGGTTTGATCTTTTTAACTGTATCTCCAGTAGCCTGCATAAGCAGTGAAAAAAGATTTAACAAAACTTTATTTAAGGCTACAAAGATTATTAAATCATGTAAAAAAAATTAGGATTTAAGGATGATAGTTTTTTTTTTATGCTGCAGCTTCCAGTGTGAAGCTGCTCAGTGCCGTGCTCAGATGAGAAACAGTGGTCCTTATAATTTCATTATTTTAACCTATTTCTCTTTTTCTCTTATTTGCTAAAGATTTCAATAGATTTTTGATTATAGTCTTTAATTATTTTGCTTGTGAGTCCCGAACAGATATACACAGTGTTTTAGTAATGTAAAGAGAGACAGTTTTTCACTGTTGAACTCTATTAATCTTTTACTCCCCTTCCCCCCCATTTAAGTTGAACCAATGTTGCTTGGTTTGGTTTTTAGTGCAAAACAGAGTAACATTCTATTTGTTTTCTATTTCAAAAAATTCACTGATCACAAACGGATAACAAAACACAACTGCACTAATTGTTATTCTTTTTTATTTATTTATTTATATGTCATGCATGACAGTATTTTTTTTTTTTTAAATTAGTCAATGGAACCATGTGTGCCCAGAGAGAGCCCCAAATGCATCTCATTACCATGTAGCAAAATTTGTAAAACAGATGAACAACTTTGTTTGAAATGTTTTGTCCACAGATACCACATAAGAAAACAGGATAAGCATAGTAGCATAGCACTTTAGCAAAGCATCTTCAGCTGGAGTTCAGTCAGTGTAGGAATGAATTTGGACAATTTCCTAAAAAAAAACAAAAAAACTTGTGTTTTTGAAACACAGTGTTCAAATTTTGAATAAGTACTTGATTTTTCTCTAAATAGGACTTAGTGGGAGGTTGCTATCTTGAATATGTTTTTGCACTGAAAAAGAGCCTTGAACAGCAGGAGCATTCCCTTTAAAAACCTTTTGTTCGCTCTGTCGTATTAAAGCATCCATTAGCAGTTGGGTGATGCTCCTTTAATTAAGTCAACCAGCTAATTAAATTCCAACTCCTGGTCATAAAACCCGGCCGGTGTCTATCTATGCATCTGAAAGCTATCATCTCAGTATCTCCTGTCTTAGAGGGCTTTTACCCCCATCCTCCACCTCATAACTATCCCTCAGTTCCCATCGCTTCATCTCTCCATTGTTACATGATATGCTCTAAGAGCTGAGCAGAGGGTGGACCTCAACCCCAGCACCCTTCTCCAGGTGGCAGCAGGGATAAGCTTTCTGTCCCCTCCCCACATTTTCTCCTCCACTCCTGCAGATTTCACTACTTATCAGGCTCTTCCCGTTGTTCTAGAGGATTATCCTTCAGCAGCTCATTAGCCAGACTGGTTGCACCTCAGCTTCCTCGTTTTTTTTCTTTTTCTTCCACCAGCTCAGTTTTTCCTCATGTTTCTCACTTTTTCCGTTCGTTCTGGTTGTTGCACTTTCCAGCAAAGGTCAATGAGCTTGAACTTTTAAAGCCGGCCTATTTTGAACATTTGTTTGTGCTTGCAGGAGGCTGAACACTCTCAACAAGTGCGCTTTAATGAGACTGGAGATCTCCCCCCAAAGAAAGAGAGTAAGTACACACGCATAACTGCTCTGACAACCTCTTTAGAAATACAATGGCATTTCCTCACCTTGACTGTCAGTTTGGTCGCTGGCCACAGGGGAGGGTTAAGTTCTCTCTCATCTTTAAAGCAGAGACACCTGTTGAATACATTTCTACATCTAGACTGCAGGGACCCTAAGGGGAGAGGGAGGAACTTCAAGGGGTCACATTAACACAACCTAATGTCTTCTGTTCTTGTACATCTGAAAAATCAAGAACAAAGCAGTTATGTAAACACATGTGAGATGTGACTGATTTTAAGTTACAAGCACAAACCTCAACGTATTTTATAGGTTGTATGTAAAGTTCCTTCACTTAAAATACAGCTGCATATTTAAAGGTGATCTGCAGTTTTTCCGACATCTTCACTACCTTTGTACATCTGAAGACTGAAATGGTTGTTTAATATCCTATACAAAATAGCTCTGTCTTGGTCAGATTGGAAGAGAATATGAAACAACATAAATTCTCAACAGATTCACAGATTTTTAATTGCATTTTGACCTAGACCTTGACTTTTTTGTTCTGGTCACACATTTAGGGTCACAGTTCTAGTAGAAGCTCATAGTCTTGTGTTTACCATGTGATCAACCCCATCCATCTTCCACTCAACTCTGACCAGCTTTCCTGTCTGAGCTGAAGGAAAGCATCCCTATGGCTTAATGTTGTAACCACAATCTTTCACAGTTGGGGTGGGGGGTGCTCAGGGGGCTGTCCAGTGTTTATTTCCTGACACACACTGACTTTTATATATAGGTCAGAAACTTTTCTTTTCTGTTGGTCACACTCCAAAACATTAGAGGACATCTCAGCCGCTAATTTGATTAATGCCACATCTACTTGGTTGATCATTATAGCTGAATATATAGCTGTCCTTATAGGTTTGAAGATGGGCCATACCTTCTCCATTTTCATGGGATTGATATAGCAGTAATCTGTGAAATAAACGCATTTGCACCAGATTTCATTTGGTGGTATCAGAGTATATACGTCCACAAATAAAACACTCATAAACCTTTAAACAATGGCAGTCCACTGCTCCCCAAGGGGATGCGTTTAATGCATTGGTAAATCTGTCCTATTTGAGATCAATAAAGTTCAATTATTTTTCATATATTATAAATGAAAGTCTTTGTTTAGAAGTATTTAGAGACTTTGTCTTAAAAACTCCAGGACCCTCTTCAACAGAAAGTCCAGTCAGTGTTCAGTTTAAAAATCTTGATAAAAACACTGACAGTTTGTGACAGTAATTACCCAGTTTCAAATCAACCATAACAGCCTGAAGGGCTGCATAGTAACATCCTTTTTTTTTTTTTTTTGGTGGGTGGTGGTATTCATTAGGATGACCCTCCCTGTGTCACCTTTCATTTCAGGAGCCAACAGAGAGGTAGAGGAGCCAAGGAGGCAAATAACCTCTTTGACTCCTTCTACACTTATGAGACGCTGCACCCCTCCAACCCCCCCACCCCCTCCCCAGACTACTTAGGAATGCATTGATCTCTTCACGTCTTCACATTCCCCGTTCCTTTAAAATCACCTCCCCGTCTCCCGAGTTTTGTGGTTTTCTGCTCCATGTTAGATTTATTGGTGGGGAGAAAATCATTTTCACTCTGCAAACTTCAAAGTGGTCACTGTTGCAGCAGATGCTTTAAGTTGATGTCTGTGGATAAGATTTCTACTAAACTTTGACAAATGGCTCAGTTCTACAGAGGAGTTGCTTCTTTCTGTGTGCAACAATTCAAACATGATTGTTATCTCTAATTTCTGCGAGTATAACTAGACATCGATATGTTGTTTGCTTTTTTAATTTATTTATTTGAAATTGCCTAGCTTAACTAAACCATCACAGAGAGGTATGTTTTTGTTGAATTACACCTACAGGTATTTGGATACTTAGATCTTTTTGCTTAATTGGCCAATATCAGAGCAGCGTGGCTAAGTTGCTGCCTAAAGAGAAAAATCTCGATTTTTAAGCTGATTCAGTTAAAGATTATAAGCAGTTCATGTTTAACCTGCAGTATAAAACTCTCTTCTTTGTTCAGTCTAAATCCATATTAGTTGGGTTTTAAAAGATGAAGACAATGTCTAATCCAAGGAGAAGGGTAACAGACTTAATCAGACTTCCGCCATCTTAAAAATATTCCAGCATTGAAACTTTATCGCTGTTTATGCTGATTATGTTTATGCTATAACCTAAAACATACTACAACAAGCTTTCATTTTATTTGCTCTTGGTAGGTATTTACTCAATAACTAGTAGTAACAACTAGTGGGATTAATTACCTTTAATGACTTATTTCGTATCAAATTAAAATGAATCGCCTACACGTAATAGAATTAACACAGTTTAAATATAAAGAAATCCGTGTTTATATATAATACTAAAATATTTTTGCTTTTATACCTCTTTTTTTTACCTCAGTTTTAGATTAGACAGGGGGTGAAAAGGAAAATAGGATAAGGATAAGATAAACTTCCAAAATAATGTGATGACAGTTAAAACACTGTTTATGATCCATGGAAATTTGGGTAATTACGGTATATATCTTATCAAACAAAAGAAGCCATTAAATCTTTATTATATAATAAAAATAATCAAGTTGAACCACACCACCATTATTTTTATTAGAAAACAGATTAGCTCAGATTTCCACTAATAAATGACCAAGTAAAGAGTTTAAAAGTGAGAGAAAAACAAATTAGATCTCTGGAAAGATGAAAGAAAGCTTGACTAATTTTCTTTAAAACAACGCCCAACTTGACTGTAGAGGCATTGTTTAAATTTATATCTTTTCTTTTTCTGTATTATGTATCTTTTAGCTATAAATGTATCTTTTAGTGATATGTTTTCAAAATTTGATGGAGGACCTGTAAATATATACTTTGACAATTATTTGGCTGACATAATTTAGCTTAACAGTAAGTCGGCAAAACTTGTCAGCTTCTGCTGTATTTTATTTTTTTTTTTGAATATATTAAAGTTGAAAATGAAGCTTAGATTAGAGTTTTTAACCAAAGTAAAACAGAAAACCTGCAAATATTTGAATTCCAGCTTTAAATATAGAATATTTTAATGTGTTTTTTTTCGACAGAGGATATTTATAACCCCAGAAGTGTAATTTTGTCTGGCCTGTCTTAGATCACCAACTTCATCGTGCATGTTTAACCAATATGAATTTATATTGTATGAAGATGCCAAGATAACCATCTTCTAAAGCTAAGGTATAAATTGCTTATAGCCTTATTTTAAAAGCTCTAGAGTTTATTTTAAATGTGGCTCCTCAGCTTTGTGTTTGCAGATACATCAATGCTCTTTATCAGATTTTTTTTTTCTAAATGACATTCGTGGTGGATAAGTCTGTCTCTGTCTGACAACGGGATGGGGGTGGTGACCCCAGTCTGGCTGGCTACATTGTGAGCTATGGGGGTCATAATGGAATTTCCTGAACTCCCTTCAGGGTCTGCGATAGATTAACTAAACTGGAGGGGGGGATATACACTTTTTTGGACCTGATGCTGCTATATTAATTGAAGCTTAGCAAAGGCACCACCTTTGTTATCTAATATGTGTTTGTCAATCAATGTGAAATTGAGTCAACTTATCATATCCTGAACTTAGATCATTGTTAGTTGATAAATCCTCTAACTTTTAGTAAAGTTTCCTGTGTTATGACAGGATTTGTCAGCGATTGTATATAATTATATTCCAGTTAGGTTAAATTTAGATGTCTTGTGGAAAAAAGAATCCATAACTCCAGATAGTTTCCTGGATTGCAGTGAGGAATGTTGTGAAAGAAATGGAAAATGTCCCCTAACCATCTACCCCTCCCGCTCCTTTATGCCCCCCTTCCTCTATGCTGCTTCCTCACTTTCATGTCCCCTCCTTTGCTTCCTATTCAGAGCGAGGATTCGGATGAGGATGAGCCTTGTGCCATCAGTGGCCGCTGGACATTCCAGAGGGACAGCAAGCGATGGTCCCGCATGGAGGAGCTGGATGTTTTTTCGTCATTCTCTACAGATGCAGCACAAAGCTCTTTTCCCAAAGACCAAGTAACCCAGAAGGGCAAGCTCACCCTGCGTGAAGGGAACAGTTCAGAGAGTGTGTTGACTGACCTCAGCGAACAGCCCGAGGTGGGCTCCATCCACAGCAGCGGGAGTGGAGGAAGAGGAGAGGAGAAGATCAATGGCGCCGCCTCTGTAAATGAGGCGGTACCTGCTGGTGCCACCAGGGCCAGCTCAGTAGCTAGCATGTGTTCATCCTCAGGCACAGGGGGATCAGCAGGCCATAATGAAGACTCTCTGTCTGATGGGTTGCCTCCGTCACCCTTGGAGACCCTCGGGCACTTCACCTTTGATGTCAAATCAGGGACAGTTGGAGGTGGTTTGGACAGAGGAGGAGATGGTGGCAAAAACACTCGTTCAAGAGCTAAAAGCTTCCTGAAGAGGATGGAGAGTTTGCGACTTCGCGGCAGTGTTTCTTCCAAGAGGAAGAAGAAGGGGAGCACTGGTTTAGGGAAAATAGAAATCAGTGGACCTGTCATGAAACAAGGCTTCGATGACGACAAACTGAGGAGGCTGAACTGCGTGGACATCTCAAGCATGAATCTAAATCACCAACACAACCCCACTCAGACCATGACTCTCAACCGGAACCGCTCTGTATCGTACTCAACTCAGACCAGCAACGGGAGCACAGGAAGTACTGGAAGCAGCCAGTCCGAGGCCAGCAGTGGCAGCGCCGTGAGCACGCCCAGTCCGGTGACTCGAGCACGCAGTCATAGCACGGCAGCAGGTTCCAGTAAGAGAGGAGGGATGTATCTGGAAGGCTTTGATCCATTTAGCCTTCTCCAGCAGGAGGTGGAGAAGGCTCACCAGCCGCCCATGCCCAAATCGGCACCGCCCATCCCCTGCCAGGCAAGTGATGGGATGTGCATCAATGAGCAGAACCGCAGAAACAAATGCAGAGCTCAACCCAAAAGCAGACAAGAAGAAGAAGAGGAAGAGGAGGAGGATGAAGAAGGTGGCATGATCTTCTTTTATTTGCCAGAGGGCCACAAGCCTGGAACGTTCCCCAAAGCCCTGCAGGATGGGAGTCTGCGTAACAACAACGGAAACGACAACGGGAATTCTGTGATCCTAAGGGGTCGGCAGAGCAGGCGCCAGCGCAGCGCTTCTTCAGGGTCAGTCGACAGCCGGCTTAGTTTCTACGACAACGTTCCATATGACGAAAGAGATGAGGGAGAGGAGGAGGAAGGAGACGAACACAAACTGGACGAGGTGCTTCAACATGTCACAGGCTTCGTCAATGCCTGGTCAGAGGCCGTGGCCGGTGAGGAGGAGGAAGAGGAGGATGAAGAGGAAGAGGGGGACTCGGATTCTGCTCTAGACTCTGCGTCACCATGCCCATCCTCCCCTATGCAGAACAGGCTGGAAGAGACAGAGAACGGAAGTGACCAGGACAGCACAGGAAACCCACTGGGAGATGCTGAGGATGGGATGAGGGAGCGAAGAGATTCAGGCGTGGGAGCATCTCTGACTCGAACTAGCAGGTCAGTAAAACAAACCAAGTTCTTCAAGAATAGTATTGCTTTTTCTTAACTGATATACTACATGTTGCTGAAACTTAGTTACCAATAACTAAAGAGTTTTTCCCAAAAAAAAAATTGGCACTAAATAAACAGAGGAACAAGCTGAGACTTCTCCTCCTCTTACATGATGGTGCTGGGTTCTTAGGAATGCCACCTTGTCTCCATGGGAACTGTTTCTACACTCTAGGGAATTTACCAACAGAATTACTCTTGGTTTCTTTAGGATAATCTCATAATTGCTGCATGCATACGTCTTCGTAATCCCTACAGGGATCACTCGACCACACACAGTATTTGTATACAGAGTGTGTTTTGTTTTATTTTTTTTGTTTTTTATTAAGCATTCCTGTACACACAAAAGCATGACACAAGTCCAAGGGGGTTAACTGCTTTGTCTGTTAAACACAGCTTTACGTTTTGAGTTCTCAATTTATGCCTTCCTCTTGTTTTCCAGACCGCAGAAGCTCCGCTGGCCGAGCTTCCAGAACTCTCATCGGCCAAGCCTGGCTTCAGCCCAGCTCCAGATCAGCTGCCAGTCTGTTCTGCAGATGAATCTTTTGCAGAAACTCTCCCTTCTGCAGCTCACTGCTCTGCTGGAGAAACACACTCCAACAAACAAGCATGGCTTCAGTTGGTGAGTGGCTGCACTGAAATTGATAAAGCCCTTTAGAGGAGTCTTAACGTGTTTTCTCTCAGCCTGCATCTGGTCACATTTGTTCATGTAACTTATGCCCCCACCACTCCCAGTCCCCAAAATATAATCCACTCCATACAATCCCCCCACCCGAGTCCAGTCCATCTGCAAGTTGTTGTATGGTGCTGTGACGGCTGTCCGCAGAGGTTGGGTTTCACATTCTTTTCCCAGGCCCATAATTGCTGGGAAGGGGTGCATATTGTCTTCTTTTTAACGGCGCAATTATGGCTGTTCACACGCAAGGTGCTGTGCTGGAGGCACGAAAAATCTGCCCCCTTCTTAACTTATCTTTTCCAAAATGCCCTTTAAGTTAAAAGGCTGAGGCGCATAATTCGCTTTTATAAAATATCAGTGGTGGATAAGTCTGTCTCAGACAACTGCTGCAGTTTGTTTTTTTTGTGCGTATGTTGTATTTTTTTTTTCTTTGTTCTGACCCATTTCAACCTAATATCTCTGTTTTAAAAAAAAAAGTCATATTAAACCTGAAAGATGAAAAATAATTTAAGGTATTAATTTAATTCTGATTTCTCTATAGAAGCTATATAATATGATTTGCAACAGGGAATGCCAGACACATTCTGTCTAGCCTTTGTCTTCTTAAAAGTTTTTTTTTAATGATAAAGGGATAACTGACAAAAAAACAGAGTTAAAAGTGAACGCTGGTTATCATATTAGAACTCAGTGCAGTTAGCATTACATTTCTTACTTTAATTTACCTTAAGTGAGAATCTGTTAAAACAGATGGAGTAGATGCTCAAAAAAAATGGCAGCTTTAAACTGTCCTGACCTTTCTGTTATCTGCTAAAGGCTAACTCTCCTGCCGCCTCTGAGACTTGCATTAGAAAACAGAAAATAATGGGTTTCTCCTAAATATTCTTTCACAACTTCTGTACTTTTTCTGGCTTTTTTTTTCTTTGTTAAACTCATTGACACTGAACATAGTTCAAATTGGGTCTTGTTCAAAAGTAACAGCAGCCAAACTGAAGACTGTTGTGGTTTATATACTCACAGGAAAAGATTTCATTTTGAAGCTTCTGACCCATTGGTTATGGGTCAGGTCTGATGAAGAGTAAAATCAGGTGATTATGGTCTCCAGCCCAGCTGTCCATGCATCTCTATAGAAAAAAAAAAGAGAGCCCAGGGGGCCCTAAAAGGTCTTCACAGTTGGGGCGACCAATAGTGTTAGTGGTACCTTAAAATTGAAATCTAACAACGGATTCCAGGCTCCAGTTTTTATATATTTTCTGATGAAAACTTGAACGAAAGCAGTTGGGATTGTTTTCATGTTTTTCTCTCACTCGATGCCATTCTTCCTCTAGGAACAGAAGGCGTCTTGACAGTCATATGACGGGTCAGGGTCTTTCTGAAAAACAGAGTCCGATTGTTGCTCACTACATATTCAGAATTCCGTCCAAGATCATAAAAAGCTTCTTCTTTTTTGTTTTTCACAAACTGGGGTTCTCAGAAGTACTCCAGTCTTGTGAGCTGGTCCTACAAAGATATACTTGTCCTGAGTCACGCACACAGGCACTTTGCTAAACACACTTACACCCATGCAGGAACACATCCATAAATCTGTGGGCAGTTTTGCGTGAAACAAAACGGTTCTGTATGATCTGATCGTGGCTTTAGGCATGCTGGGTACAAGCATCAATACCTCTGGACACAAAGTACCAGGCACTAAAAGCAACTCCATTTAAAATCTCCATCTCACTGGACGGAAAAATGCAGAGCAGCTCACGTTAAGCTCTAAGGCGTGCTTTTGGTTATTTCTGTAGAAACTTTAACTGTTTTTTTTTTTCTGTAAAGAGATGGGAATGTCCTTAGCTTAAATCTGAATTAATATACATTACTGTTATTTTCCTTTGTGCCATTTTATGTTTCAGGGCTGTGCCAAAGTTTATGAAGCGAATCAAAGTGCGCGACTACAAAGACCGGAACGTGTTTGGCGTGCCGCTCCAGGTCATCGTCCAGCGGACTGGTCAGCCCCTCCCTCAGGGTATCCAGCAGGCCATGCGCTATTTGCGCAATCAATGTCTTGACCAGGTATGCTATTTTCACAGATGTACACTTGTAGATAGATGTGTGCAAATTGTATTTTTGTTCATTAAAATCATGTTGATCAAATTTCCAATCACTATTCTTTACTCTATATCAGTTTATGAACTTAGTTAAATGAGAAATATAGATCCCAAAACCTTCCCAAAGTCGTTTTCCATGCATCTTAAACGTACAGCATCATATGCCTGAATACTGTGTGGAAGAAAATGTGTAAAAGTCAAAAGGTTTTTAATACTATGTAAGGCACAGGCCATGCGTTATGGCTTTGTTTCCTTTAGTAAAAGATCAAAAGTGTGTGTGTGCATTCATGAGGGGCAGAATGGGCCTATGTGTAGAAAATAGCTGTTTAAGCACGATGGCTTTCTTCTCAAAGCAGGACAAGGCGCCTCTGTTAAGAGGTGGCAAAAGCTGCTGGAAAACACTCAGCCTGGACATTTAGTCCCCGTTTTTCTCCCAAAAGCATTTTAATGCTTTATTTTTCGACTTTTTGTTCAAGAATGCATGTTAGGAAGGGTGTCATGAAAGCGTCTGGCATAAAACAGTCAACATTTTCTGTTGTGATGTAACTCCAATTAACTCTAAATTCCAGATTACTGGATGATTCAAGAATGTACTTATTTGTTTTTTGTTTTTTTTACAAAGCAAATTATCCATTGAAAAGATGAGCTTAGCATAAATCACTTTAGATACACCTAATTATGAGATCAAAACATTTAAATCAGTTTTATTGCAAAGGCTGATAAGGGATTTGGACTTCAGGTTTTCTTTGTGTGCTTTGTTATAGCATAGTCATGTTCCAACCACAAACTTTAATTTAGTTCCCCACAAAGTATTGCATAGTTGGGAAGCCAGCTCAATACACTCTTATACTCTCACAGCTAATCCAGTGCAATCAGTTAAGGGCTTACTTCAGGGTTTATTTTTACTGGATGTATGATGTTCTTCTTTCTCCCTTTGCTCCTCCTTCTCCTCACAGGTGGGCCTTTTCAGAAAATCTGGAGTTAAATCTCGCATCCAAGCTCTTCGCCAAATGAATGAGGCCAGCGGCGCCGATGGTGGAGGGGTCAGCTATGAGGGCCAGTCGGCCTATGATGTAGCTGATATGCTGAAGCAGTATTTCAGGGATTTGCCCGAGCCACTGCTCACAAGCAAGCTGTCTGAGACCTTCCTGCAGATTTATCAATGTAAGAAAACAAAAAATCAGTCTTTAAATCACATGATAGCAGTTTTCCCTCTTCTGTATGATCCTGTTTAGCAAAATGAGTCTCTTAACCTCTGGTCTCTGAAGTATTTAAATGGAATTAAGCTAATAAAGTCATACAAAAACAAAGAAATATATTATAGACTTTGTGCCTTACATAACAGATATTCAACTGTTCTGTAGCCAAAGTGGCTCCCAACACAATATCCTTATTGAATTAACCAGTTTCTGCATAAATCGATGACATGATGCAGCATGACTGCGGGTAACTGAATTAATAAGAAGCCGTAACAAAAAATGCCTCCTCCTCTTTCCTGCAGACATGCCCAAAGAGCTCCGCCTCCAGGCTACCCGTGCCGCTGTGCTGCTTCTGCCAGATGAGAACAGGGAGGCGCTGCGCACACTGCTGTGCCTGCTTAGTGACGTGACGGCGTGTGTGGCTGAGAACCAGATGACGCCCACCAACCTGGCCGTGTGCTTAGCGCCGTCACTCTTCCATCTTAACACCCTGCGCCGCAAGGAGAGCTCTTCTCCCAGGTGTGTGATTCCGAACAGCCTCACTTTGTCAGATCCTAGGGAAGCCTCTAAAGTAGTAGACACCCGTTCTCTGGGAGGGTCATTAAATTGTTAATTAGTTTGTTAGTTTAATACCATATATTGCATTTATTTTGTCTCTGCAGCTCAGTTGAACACTATGGTGCATTAAGGTTACCATGCTGTTTCAAATTTATTGTATAGAAGGTTTAAAATTATATGTGCCTCTTATTGTCCAGTAGATATGAATGCAAAGCGGGTTAAATGTGGCAGCTATTTAGACAGACTATTTCAACAAAAAAGAAAAAAAGAGGAATGGTGAAAATGACAGATGTATTGTAGTGATAACACTTTAAATAGGAAAAAAAACTTCCTGGGTGGGATGCGAAACATCTTTAAACTTGGAAACAAAGTCCAGTGTTTTATTTTTAACTTTTTTTTTTTTTTCTTGGAATGACTATGACCTGGATGACTGAGAGTCTTCACCACCATATTGCATTGATAAGTTTATCCTTTTAAAATATGTCATGGTTGTAAACCATGGTACTGTTTGCCTACAGATGGACTCATTAATCATCAAAAGATTAGAATGGGACAGTTTTTTGGGGGGGGGGGGGGGGGTTGCTTTGATCTGTGATCACTTGTTCTTGTTAAATGTATTTCTATCTATTCAAATTAACAGATATCAACAATTTCAGTTGTTTTTTTTTGTTGTTTTTTTTGTATGGTTGTTATTATCGAATTTTAATGAGTATTTAATGAAAATGGGGGCAGATGTTTTTTTTTGTTTTTTTTTTTACTTTTTTCTGCTCCTTTTCTTTCAGTCATGATTTCATCTGTGACGTGCACAGCGTTTATTATGTTGTTTTCTTTAAATTCATGAAATGGATATATAAAAATACCTTAAAGAAATCTAGAAAACAGCCAGTTTTGCAAAAAGTCAGATGTAACGCCTGTTAAAAACGGGGTAGAGTTTCTGGCTCTAGAAGCTGTTCATGCAGCTAACCCTACACCCCAGTAACACCCTCAGCTTCCCGCACTAATCATTGCAGAACTTCTCCTGTCTACATTTTGGAGATGAATCGCATCGAAAAACTCTGTAGACTGTTGTAATGATGCTGGTAGGGATCTTGTTGGCGATTGACAAGCTCTCTCCATTTTTCTATTTTGGTTACATAACATTTAACATGCTTGAGGTTCTAATAACAGGAAGAGGCCACTTCAGGAAAACAAAAGGGTATGATCCTTTAGGTGGAGGGCTGAGATGGAAAGGAAGCTCGGAAAGTTTGCGTGAACCTCTTAACAAACTTATGTTGTTTCACATACAGAAACCAACATTAGCCGGTTACAGTTAGATTGTTTTTTTTCTACTCTTTCATAATGAATAACCCTTTTCTCTCTCTCTCCTGGCTTGTGACAGGGTAATGAACCGGAAGCAGACGCTGGGCAAACCTGACCAGAGGGATCTGAATGAGAACCTGGCTGCCACTCATGGACTGGCCCACATGATCCAGGACTGCAGAAAACTCTTCAGGGTCAGTTCTGCAAAACAGCAGGAAATAAACTTTATGCTTAATTAATCTAAGATTGAAATCAATCAATCCAGGCCATTCAAACTTTAATTCATGTAGGAACTCAGAGCAATAATGAACAGCATGAGTATCCTGTTTAGTTTTAGTTTTTATTTTAGAGGAATGTTAGCATTGGCAATCACCTACAAAACATTAAAATTAAATTCTACATTTCAAAATAAACCCAAGGTCGGGTCCTAATATAGGCCCCTGAAGCACCCCACGTCCAAAAGGCATAGTAGAAGAAATAAACTGATATATTGTGACAGAATTATGACTTTACATTGTTATGGTTTTCTTTCTTAATGACAGATTACATTTTCAGATCTTGATTTTTTTTTTTCACAGCATGAGTTACAGTGACCCTCAAGTCTTTAGAGAGCAAACCTAATTCACGACTTAAGCCTTTTGTTGTCGTGACTTACGTGCGACTTCAGCCTTAAGTTGGAAAAATCGCTGTACATTCCTGTCATTGTCACATGCCTTTTATCCATGCATATGTTGTGTAAACACTCCGAGTTGTACAACTCATTCCTGCAAATCATGCTGACGTTGTGCAAGCAGCTTGGTGACGAATGTCCCGACTAACTTCATCCAGTCTAATTTATTTTGTTTATCTTCAGTTTATCCCTAAACAATTATTTGCACAGAACATACCTGTGAGAACTATATGTTCGCTCTGCGAGGTCTGAAATAATCCGATATAAAAACGTTATCTGAACCATATTCTGCCTTATACTCTCACCCCAGACATGTAAAAGCTAAAAAGGCACACACTGAGTTATCACTATAATTTAAAGCTTGATTCAATTTAGGACAAACTTCCTGCCTTCCCATCAGGCTCATATCCAGCAAGTAAACTCAATAAAGCCTCTAAATGAGGGAGGAAGCTCTCTAATTAGATTTATATTGTACTCAGAAGGAAGGACGGGTGAAATGAACATATATTTATCAAGATATGAGCTCAACTTTAAGAGGATCTTATTTATCTGCATTGTCGGGAGCTAATTTGAGGACTGAAGTTGAACAAGAATGAGAACCACAGGCCTATAAATAGAAAGAAACCATATTCTGCTTTAATTTCAGATCCTTAACCAGGTAGCGCTAATTACAAGTTCTAAAATACTACACTGTTGTAGCAGAACTTTATTTCAGCCTCTCTCAAAAGCTACTGTGGAACAAGATCTGTTACTATATCAGTTTGTTACGCCCTGACCCTGCGTTTACTGGATTCCTCCTCTTAGATCCCCGAAGAGATGAACCGTTGCAGGAACTCCTACGTGGAGCAGGCTCTGCTGCCGCAGCGCTTTGAGGAGCTGGCTGGTGAGGAGGCAGGACAGGGGGGCTACAGAGCCTGCCTTCAGGACAGCTTGGACCAGCTCCTGAAGGAGGCCAAAGACAAGTTCAAAGGTTACGACAGCTGCTCCACGCCTGAGCATGCAGAGCTGGCCTACAGGAAGGTAAGCCCACACAATTAACCTATGAAAATCCTGAAAAATAAGAAAAGATGAGTTATTTTGTCTGAGGTGTGTAAACAAGCTGCCACCTCTGTTTCCTTTCGCCTTCCCGTTCGCCTTGCAACTTTAAATAGTGAGTGGAAAAACAGCAGTTAGGGTTTCCTGTCTAGAAAGGAATCCGTGTGAAAACGGCTGTGCTCTTGGCTTCTCGCTACCATCCCATCTGCTCTGGACTCTGTCCCAGAATGACATCAGCCTCAGCGCCCAACACACACAAACACAACTTTTTCATTCTCCTAGGCCTGCGTTTCCTGTGCTGAACATGCTTAAAGGCCTGGATAGGCTTATCTTTTCTCCAGTTTGAAAGTCGCAGCAGCACAGCGGCTGCATGTTTTACTCTCAGATGGAAAACTGGATTTCCACTCTCACCTTTTGTATCTTAGCAACCACAAGCTTCAATTTTGTATTTATTTATATGATTGACCAACCCAAAGTAGGACAAGACAGAAGTGAAAAAGGAAAAATTCAGGGTCTATAAAATTTTTGATAAATAGGTGAAAAAAAAAGAAGTTTCTTTTGCATTTATGCTCATTCCTATTTACTATCAAATCATCACCAGAAGATTAAAACACTATGGCTTTAATCAGAGAAGCAACCCAGAAGGCCATGATATCTCTAGGGGATCTTTACCTACAGCTTTGATTAAATAATTATCTGACAAGAAAACGTTAAGATGTGCTCAACAACCTTGACCTCTATAGGAAAGTGGCAAAGAAAGCTTTTGTTAAAAGACTGCATTGAAAAATCCTGCTTACAGTTGGACTGACATCATGTAGCGAATCTGGATAGCTGAGAAAAACATTAAGGGATTCTGCACACAAGCAGAAGGTTGTGCCTTCAAAACAAGATGAAACAAAAAGAATCACCCTGTACTATTCCTATGGTGAAACATGGTGGTGAAACATCATGCCGTGGGGAAGCTGCTTAGAGTTGAGGGAGTTAAAGAAAACACAAAGGCTGTGTTTAGACTTTAGTGGGGGTTTTGAACGAACAGGAGAATTACCTAAATATTAGGGATTTTCTGATCTGATATGAATATCGGATATTGGTCTGATATTAGCCCAAAAACCACTATCCGAATATCCGATTTTATCGGCCAGCATCTTTTCATGCTGATAGTAGTAGATTATGGTAGATTTGTTGTTGATTACGGTTCTCTGTTCGCTTGATCAAGCTTTTTCTAACATTATACAGTAGAAATTAAGTCGTAAAAGTATGCATAATTCATGTTAATATTGGTATTTTAGCTTATTTTTCAAAATAGCATTGTATCGGAAATTGGATGAGGACATCCCTACTTAACAGCCAGAGCTATCAATGATTGGTTTAGATCGAAGCATATCCATCTGGTAGAATACTGCTAATAACGTCTGTACCTGCCTCTCTTATTTATTGTGAATTGGCTGTGTACAGTCTTTTTATTTTAAAACCCACAAAGGCATATAACAAAGGCTTTCCATCTGTAAAGGTAGAGAACCATAGTTTGGAGGCTACAGACAGACAATTGATTCCTACTTTTCAGATTCTTTATCTGTTAAAAATAGAAAACCATGTGTGTCATCTGTTGGTTTACCACATAATATACAATAGAAACATTTCTAACTTGTGGTTGAAGTATGACAATAAACTGAAGAGCTGAATGCTGTTAGAAGTCACTGTATGTTGTTTGCTAACAAGTAGATAGAAGATCCATCATAAATGACTGGGTGTTCTTGGTGTAATGTCATCTGGCCTTTTCCTGTAGGTGCACGATGGATTTCCACTCAGACTCTGGAAAGTAACAGTAGAGATTCCAGCAAGTCCAGATGAGGTTCTGACACGAGTACTACGAGAGCAAGGGCATTGGGATGAGGACCTACTGGAAAGCAGAGTGGTGGAGACCCTGGATGAGCGGACGGAGATCTACCAGTACGTCCGAAACGCCATGGCACCACATCCCACTAGAGACCACCTGGTGCTAAGGTAGACTCTTTTCTCCTCATCTTGGGTTCTCTTGCTATTTTGTTGTTCCTGTTTCAGTGCATCTCTGCTTTCTTAATATTGTCAATTAATTAATAGTATCTTGATGCTTGTTAACAGAACATGGATCACAGACCTGCCGAAGGGTGCGTGCGCACTTGTTTCTACGTCTGTGGACCATGAAGGGGTTCCAGTGGTGGGTGTCCGTGCCAATGTGCTCACCTCACGCTACTATGTAGAACCCTGTGGAGCCAACAAATCCAGACTCACGCACATTTCCAGAATCGACCTCAGGTTGGTGAATTGCACAGAACCCAGGATGAATGTAGCTAGAGGAGTTTTGCAAGCTAACAAAGAATCCAAATCAATTCCTGATTCCTGAGGGGCGGACCCATTCTTCTGGTTCAATTTGCATGTTTTCTAAGCCAAAACAAGTTTTTTTCAACACCAATTCTGACATTTTGAACTGAAAAATCTTGAAAAACTTGAAAACAAAGTCCAGTGGATTGTTTTTTTTTTTTTTTACTTTTTTTGGAAAGTAGCTAGACGATAGAGACAGACGTTAGCCTATTTGTTCCATATTGATTTGGTGAATTCAATCCAACATCTTACTACTTTATTCCAAAAACACTTGCATGTAGTTTGATGGGCTTTATGAGTTGAGTGAAAATCAGATCAATTTGATTGCCATGAATTTAGGTAATGGCTTTAATAGAATGCTTTCACATCTGATGTATTTGGATCTGCTACCCCTATCAAGGAGCATGCCACTTATTTATTCCTGATTCATGCACTATATTGTCATGATAAAATAATTTTAAAAAGCTGCATCTTATAACTAGAAAATAAATATGCAAACATTTCCTAAAGTTGAATCCTCCTAAGACCGTCTCTATTTCTCCTTTTTCAGGGGTCGTTTTCCAGAGTGGTACAACAAACTCCACGGACAGTTGTGTGCCGCTGAGGTGGCAAGAATAAGAGACTCCTTTACTGTTTCCATGGACAAATAAGCAAGAAGGATGCAATTCGGACCAAAACAGATTCTTGGACTGCAAAAAATACTCAAGGAGCAGTCAGACTGTCATTATTTCCACAAACAAAAGACAAAGTTTGTAACCTGGTTTCAAGGACTTGCTTGTCCCGGGTCGAAAGAGTTAACTGATCGTGTTGGGACTGCTGAAAAGGATTCGCACACAGATTTAACTTTTTGCTGTCAGTTCAAGACATGTGGTTTAGACTTTATCTAAAGGGATGATACTGCTTCTGAGAAGCAAAGAAGATTCAAGGTATGCATGAACTTGTGTGTGCGGGATGTGTGCAAAGCAGCAAATGGTGAATGCATATTTACTCATGTCGGTTTACAGGCAGAAGAAACCGTGTACATACAAACTATTTTGGGTCAGAAAAGTAGCTTTGACCATCCACCTCATGCTACCTCTGACCAACATTTCTGTTACAGCAAAGCACAGGAGGAGCGGTAGACGTTATTATAGAGAGCTGCTGAATGAATCTGTGGGTGAAGAAAGATGCAAATCCACAGACTGAGTTGGAACAATGGATAGGATATGGTGAGATGACAGGTGGGCGATTGCAAGCAGGGTTTTAGTGTTTAGATGTAGACAGAGGAGGGCTGGTGGCTGGCTCACCAAAATGAAAGGACTGATCAGTCAGGGCCTCATTCACTGACAGATAAAAGTCACTCCAATCCCTACAGAAGGATTTGAATGAGTCAGGGGTTTTATATAGAAGCCGATTTTTGTTTGCAAAGATCCAACCGATGGGTTTAGCCTCCAAGCTAGTGCCAAAAGCCAGATCTTTAGCGACTTTACAGAGAACAGCAGGGAAATAAAAACCAGGTGTAATGGACCAAATGGAGAAAAAGCTGAAAGCTAAACCTAGAAGGTGTCAATGTTCGTTTTAGTCTCAAACACGTCACTGTTTTGTTGATTACGGTTTGTTGTTTGCATTTCTGTTTTATTAAAATATATTACATACTATACATATTCAATACTTTGTGCACAAAAGAACAGAAGACACTGTTCAAACCTGCAACATAAACCTCCAGCTACAAGAAAAGATGAGAGAAAAAAGCCCTTTTATAAAGGCGGGGATTTTACAGGTTTTACTGTAAAGAGGGGAGAATGAATGTGTTTTTCTATAGAAGGATACAAATCTTTTTGCGTAAGCGTCTATCTCTCTTATCTCACAGTGTTTAAAAAGTAATTATATAGAGTTGGGTCCACGTAACTTCTAGCTTTGACGCTCTTCTATCACAGACTGTTCATGTGGAGTGTGTAATTAATTCACTAAGCCATTTGTTTATATCCTACAAGTTTATACCTGTAACAGTGTCTCTGCCAAAATATAACGCATGACAATGACAGTTAATTTAAAGTAAATATATTTATACCTCAGATATGTTTTGTTTTGTATCATTTGTTATTTTATTGTACATGGTAAGCTTTGTGTTACAGATAATGTGTTTTATCTTTTTTATTAATATTATTGCTGTACAGGTTAATCAAAGTGCACTATTAAATGTATTAAAATATTTGCTTTGTTTATTGTTTTTTTTTTTTTTTTTTTCACAAAAATATTTCTAAAACTTTCAACATGACCTTGGTTTTTCCCACACCTCCCTCTCCAAAACNTGTGGTCACTCATTTGGATCGAGTTCGTCCCAACTGCAGCTTTTCCCCTGACGCTAACCACCGTAAATCTCAACTGATTTGACTTCATTCCACACGAGTAAATCTTTGATGGAACTAGAAAAGCCAGGAGGATAATGATCTCACTGCTAATTATTATTCTTAAACATGTTTCTGTTATCACAACACTGTGGGGTCTGCTGTTCTGTAGCAAAGAAGTTTAATAGGAGTCATGAGACAAAGACAAAGGGAGCCTCTAGGTGTGAGCAGGCACTTTATTTTTTTTTAACCTATTGGAAAAGAGCAACTTAATATAAATGATCTATTTTATCTGGACACTGCATCTTTAAATCTGAAAAATCGAGGATTGCGGTAGATCTAAAGATTTTTTTTTATTGTCTTTAAATGTGATACCATAGAATATAATTTAATTTGCCTTACTGGTGGCCATGTTTACTAGTATCCGTATTGAAAAAGAGAAAGAAAGCGAAAGAAATGGCTAAGATAGAAATAAGCTAAAACTGAATTTCAGCTTGATTTTTCTGTTTACATCCCAGCCTGCATTCGGTCTGCAGCAAAGCTTGACCTTGGGATGTCCGAAAAGCAGCTTTCTTGCCATTGCTCTAAAAATTGTGGTATGATTTTATTAGTAGCCTTCTTAATCAGGTTACACACAGCCACAGGGTGTGCAATGCCCTGGCCATCCCGCTGGCCAGCCCACTTGCCAGTGTAAATTGTAGTAGCATCAGTTCAGCATTTCATTCCACTATGCTCAGTCAGCGACATAACATTAAAAATCACACAATAAACCAATATATGAGTGGGTGTTTACTTATGTTTTTATATCTTCAGACAGGTTTAATGCAATAGTAGATTGAAACCCTGAAATTATGGCTTTTAGTTTCATTGTGCCACCCCAAGATTTTTAGTGGCCCCATCTGATCACCCCTATGAAACATTTCTGGAGGCGCCACTGCACACAGCATTATGTTTGGTAAGGGTTTTGTCATTATCAGTATCATAGTGACAACTAAAAGCAACAAATTGTCCTTCTGCGTGACTTTTGAATTGAATCAGTTTTGTTTTATTCCATGTTTGTATTATGTAAACATCTACAGACAGTGCTGTACTCCCCCTTGACTGTTTCCCCCCCTTGGGCTTGAGTATGTGTCCACCCCCAACCCTCCGCCCCAAGTGGTCCAAACACCTCACAGAGATTATGCAGCTCCAGATAAGCAGGAGTCAGCACCAAGGCTGCATTCCCACCCTGCTGTTTGAGAATCCACCACAGGAAGGTTCCCACATTGATAAATACTTATGAATGTGTGCATTCTTCAGTCTGTGCTGCTTTTCCTGTAGTTTGAGCTTTCGTGTTTTAAATCAGAGAGCAAAAGTGACTGATTTATTTATCCTCTGTTTATATATTTTTGTGAACACACATACACACACACACACACAAAATGATTTCAACAGACGTGTGTGTACAAGATTTCCCCTTCTACTGTGAATTTTGGGTCAGAAAGATCAGACATATAGGTTTGATGATCTGAAGCATGAAAGTTGGACAAAATAGCAAAAAAAAAAAAAAAAAGAAATATGAGCACATATGCATTTCCATGACACTTTGAATCTGAAAAAGGTGGCAAATCATGACTTGTTCCATATCCATAGACATTCTGATGGATGACCTGTAGTAGTGTTGTGGCAACAGGAACGGTATGCCATTGTGATAAGGCTATATTTTAAGAGTCAACACAGGAATTCATTAAATTTCATTCCAGTGTTTGCAGTATTGACCTCATGGCTCCATGTTTCAGACATTTCCAAAGGTGGAAAGTGTCTGTGCTAAGGAAGATGGATCTGTTTAGCCCCCCACAAAAAAAGACTACCGGTATATATCAGTGTATCAACAACAACAACAACAAAAAAAAAAAAACACCTTCACATTAGAGTGAAAAGTTCACTATTATGGCTTCCTTGCTGGTCAAATGATGCATGTTCAGCTCTACGTCTAACAGAGAATATGCAGTTGGAAAGAGGGATAATTATGCATAGATAAAAAAAGCAATGGAAAGGAAAACAACCAATTTTTTTTTTTTTTTTTATAAATAAGTAGCTATCTACTGTAACTTGAGAAATGTTTGGAAGGTTACATGGCTGTCCAAGAATCAAAACTTATTTTTCCTTGACAAAATGAATTCTTTTTATGAAAAAAAAATTATATAACAAGCTTTAAAGCTTTCTCTTTATTTTTGTTTCAAGAAAAACAAATCTGAGTTTGTTACTGATCTGATGTTACATGTTACGGTATATTTTTTACACAGCTCAACACTGCCCTCTTGTGGTTAAGATATCTCAAAAGATAATTTTATTTGTTCAGCAGAGCACAAGTGTATTGTAGGGAAATAATAGACCACTAGATGGAAGAATCTCTCCATAACCAAGGTCTCCAGTGCTAGACATCACATATCAGATGCTACATAAAACTCTACCACACAATTATTGATGATTATCGCAAATATAGCTTTTAATTCTTGTGTTTCTTTACATACCCAAAGTTAAAGGGAGTTAAGGAGTAATTGTATTTCTGT